GTATTTTATTGAAATTGTTTCATTGGTATATTATTCCTTTACCGCGGTTGTAGTTAATGATTTTACCGTTATTGTTTAGCAGCGTCATCTGCGTGTGTACGTATATTTTGTAGATTTGTTTGCATATTTGACTTTTACGGTTTCATATGTCCATGTTTACTGTCTTAACGCTAATTAGAGGTGTGTATTTTATTGATTTCCTTTCACTATTTTTCTGCAATTTGTTATTCTAGTACTATTATGAAAAATTAAAAAAGTTTTCGTATTTATTTTGTTTAAAAAAATAAAATATTTTCATTCTTCAACTCAAACCCCGCTCTGCTCAGTTCCTTTAGCCAACCCATTACATTTAACCGTTATTTAGCACAATCTTATTACCTAACCGCTTTTCAGGTATTCGCTCGCCTTACGCTCTTCGCTCTCAAATCCATTAAAATTTGTGTTATCACCGCTCTCACTTCCCTCATTTCCCTGCTATCATATTTTTATTATTTCTTAAAATTTTATTATATTTATTTTTGCATACCTACTCCTTATTGTTTACTCTACCGCTTTCTATAACCTAATTGTTTGTATGTATTTGTATACATTTAGCTGCCCCACAACTCAACAACAACAACAAGTCACTCATTAACATTGCACTGCCATATGTAGTTAAATACTTGACATACCCTTGAAAATAAGAAAAGTATTTTGACCAAAAATCTTAGTAAAAAGCTGCCACGAAAGCTCTAGCACTACAAAATATCCTAATGAAAGCTTTTAAGCTGATCTATGTGGTTACGAAGCGTTTACTTTAAATCATTTCGGTAGAAGTGAAAGGCCTTTCAATTTTTCTGTGAGTTGAATGAGTTTGGTATTTCAAAAGCTTTCGAACTACGTCAAACAAAAATGTTATTAATAACTAAAAAACGCTGTTTCAGTTTCTTTGTATTAATTTATAATTCTACAATTGTTTTTTTCTTGCCTAATACGCTTTAAAGACTGCTCCATGGCTTTATGTGAATGTAAAATTTTCCACCGAGCTTTCATAATATTAACGTAGGTTCTACTAAGTGTCATGGAAATGTTGAAATTACGCCAAGAGTTCAGTTATGTTTCCTTGTCAAACACTTGCATGAAGCTTTCGCTTTTCCACTTAGTAATCCACCTGTTTTACTAACTTTGATACACTATATTTTTAACGACTCGAAGACAAGGCTTTGGTAGTTCAATTGTATTTCAAAACATCTTTTAACGGTTTGTTGTAAAATTTTCAGTAAAGCTTTCACTGAGCTTTTGTTGCAAATTTTTTCAGTTTAGCTTACACTGAGCTTACACCGAGCTTTCATTGAAAATGTTACATATCAAAAACCTTTCTGAGGGATATAATTAAATTAGTTTGTATAGATGTCATACTGAAAATTGCATAGATTATAACCACGTGCTCTTCTGTGCTCTTAATACGTAAGCTTTGTTCAAGTAATTTCAGCTTTATTGCTCGGTTTTTAAAACTTAAAACTCATAGTTTCGTAAGTATACGTGAGCTTTCACTAGTTTTCATAGTGATTTCATTATTTTGGAAGGTTATACTAAAAATTTCCAGCTGATTTCTCGTAAGAATATTTGCCTTTCTAAAATGAGGTTTTAAAACCTTGCGTACTTTTATTTGGCTTTTTTAGCCCTATCAATCTCCAAAAACCTTGCATGTAATCTCGATTTAGTTTCGCTTTCTATTTCCACACATTCTTTGCAGATTTTGTATTGCACACCCTTTAAGCTTTTTGAATATTTTAGACTAACGGAGTTTTCGCAAAAGCTTTCAAGTAATCTCGATTTAGTTTCACTTTCAATTTTTTTTTATATTTATATTCACACCTTTTGACTTTTAGGCCTTCTTAAGTTTCACAGAAGCTTTGATGTAGCTTTGGTTCCATTTCTTATTTCACTTTTCCCTTTATATTTCCACTTATGCTACGAAGCTTTTACTTTGGACATCCTTCACCACTTTTGAACTTACAAGAGCTTTCAAGAGCTTTTAAGAATTTTTACAATTTATCTTACTTTCTGTCATTGGTTTTGCTCCTATCTGTCCATTTTTCGCAAAAGCTTTCATGTAACTACGGTTCCACTTGCTATTTCACTTTACCCTTTATATTTTCCCTCACCACTTTTGAAATCACAAACATTTTCAAGAGCTTTTAATAAATTTCGCTCAAGATTTACGTATTTTGTCTTTCTACCTTTTTCCTTTCCTAATTTTCCTCCTTCTTTTCTTACTTATATCAATTGTGCTTTTATCCTTCTATTTAAGTAACCTTTTATTTGAAAAGCCGAAGTGCTCGCAGAACTTTTGCGTAAAATACTGCCTTAGCTTTCTACTATAATATCTTTCGAGCTTTTACAAAGCTTTCACATCTACCGAACTTTGAAAACGCCACCTATTTGTGTATTCCCCATGCACGTGTTCTCTTTAAAGCTCATCTATACACCTCTCGAAATGTTATTCAATTCAATGTTTGTTGCAATTTAAACTGCTTGTGTAATTATATTATTTTCAATAGCTTCGCTTTAATATGAATAAACCAAGTTTTGTTTTAATTTTTTTTTCTTTTTGTATATTTAGCATATAATAATTGTGTGTATATTTTATTTATATAATTCTTGCTTTTGATTTGCATATAATTTCGCAAAATAATTTAAATGCTTAGCGTTTTTGCTGCTTAATTTCATAAATATTTCAGCTGGAGCTTTAGCTTTTCTTTCTTATTATTTAATGGTTTTTAGGCAATTTTTTCACGCTTAACACATATATACATACATAAATAAGTATACATTTAGCTTGATGCTGCTTATAGTGTTGTTTTAACATTTCATTTACAACAACATGCCACCATATATACATAGGTGTATGTATACTATATATAATATGTAATCAATGTAGTACATTTCTTTATTTTATTTTATTTGCTTTACTTTTGTTGTTAATTTTGGTTCAGTTTTCGTTTCTTTTTGTTTGTTTGTTAAGTACGTATGTCTGTGTAAGTAAATAATATATGTGATATATATTTTCATATTTCTCTGCTTCTTAGGAGGCACATTTAATTATTTTCTTGTTATTTGTTTACCTTGTTGTTGCTTTGTTTTGATTTTTTTTTATAATTTGTGACTTGTTTTTGCTTTAGCTTTCGTTTTTGTATGT